AAGCTTCTAAACTCAACTCCATAAAAGCCTGTGTGTCTATGTACACATAGGCTTTTAGCAGAGTTTAGGAGCTTCCGCGGTTAGGTGAGGTTAAACCTCCCTCTCCTGAACGCAGAACAATCGCGTTCAGGATAGGAACGTTTTGACCACCAACCACGCAAAATTGCGGTACCGCGGTTTCCCGTGAATGGCGGTCAGAGTAGGCTCGTGTACATGAAGCCTTTCACCTCCTGTTCAGTAGCGATGGCCATGGGAGTATTTGGATCCTAGTGGGCCTGTCAGGAAGCTATCAGCTGTACAGAGCCAATCATCATTCCCAGCCCCGAAGCTGCAGGTAAACATTTGCTGTGTATACATGTGACTGTGGGGGGCGAATGTTCCGACTGCAGATGGTTGGCTGATTGCTGATGACAGCTGCTTGTTCGGCCTGCTCAGGTAGATTCAGACTAGGATCTGAACACATCAGAGCACATTCCTACTGTTCAGGTAACAAATGAAAAATTTTGTATTCCCCCATGCTTTCTGTCTCAGTGTTATTGGTCACCAGTGGGAAAAATCAGGAAGGGGTCTCCTAATCTTTAAATTAGGCTATAGACACACTTTAGATTGTAAGCTCTCACAAGAAGAGCCCCACTAACCCTCTTGTCTGGAATTGTATTATAACTGTACTGTCTCACTTTATTTTGTAATAATTATTGGTGCTATATAAATCCTGTATAATAATAATGATGAATACAATATTGGCATGCGCTATCCCTTCCTGGATACATTATTATGCAGACAGCCCACATGAAAGAAAAATATATTTTAAATATATTTTTAAAATATGCTTCCCAAATATATTGACATATATTTGAAATACTACAATTTTGGCCGTATTCAATATATTTAAAAAATATATTTCAATAAAATATATATATATACTGTATGTTGAAATCAGTTTTTATTACAAAATATATGAAAAATATTTTTAAAACTACATTTGCAAATATACTGTATGTCTTTAAAAATAAATTTAATCTACATTTATGGAATGCATTTACAAATATATGTAAAAATATATGTTAAAATTACTTTTTTATATGTTAACAAAAATCTGAAGAATATATTTATAAAAATATATATTTTTAAAAATATTTTTTTCATATATTTTGTAATATATAAAAAACGCATTTCAACATGCAGTATGTGTGTATATATAAATAAATATATTTTGAATACGGCCAAAATTGTAGTATTTCAAATATATGTCAATATTTGGGAAGAATATTTTTAAAATATATTTCAAATATATTTTCAAATATATTTTTCTTCCATGTGGGAAGACTGAATCCCTCTGCGCCGCTTGGTCCTATAGCACTCACACAGCTTCCTATAGCTATAATACCTATGATTATATATGAATATGATACCGTTGACTGCCGTATTTACTCCTGTTAGAATATTACAATGTAATAGCAGGAGTATACTGTATAGAGCAGTGTTTCTCAATCTTCGACGAGGCACCCTTTAAAATTATGGACAGTCTTGAGGCACTCCATTCTAAAATGGGGTGCTTCTAGACTGTCCATAATTTTAAAAGGGCACCCCATTCTAAAATGTGAAAAACTATTCTAATAGTTTAATATAACGCAACAACATCCACACATGTAGGACACCCAATGATAGAGGTGATTTATTCTTCCAAAGCAAATACACTTTTGCACACTGGTACTGCCTAGTATCCCAATGTTTCTCTCTCAGTTTTTCTCCATCACTGAGCTAATGTGACCCCAGCACTGATGGAGAGGGGCAGGGGAGGGTCAAACAAGGATGCTGTGCAGGCCACCAACATCCTACTTATCAACTGATGATGTCATTGGTTGTTAGGACGGCAGCGGCTAGAAGGTCACAATAGGTGCACAATGAAAACCTGTGCCTTTGTGTAACTAAAAGGTAGGCTTGTTCCACCCACTGGCTTGTTTACAATTTTGGGCAATTTTTTAGACATTTTCTCAAGGCACCCCGAAGAAACCTCAAGGCACCCTGGTTGAGAAAGGTACAGTCCAGGAACACAGTTTCTGACTTTTCCATTGTTGGGTTAGCACTACTAAATTCAACCTACAACGAAACACACTTGCTGCAATATATTAAAACTGTGTTGTAAAATGTCCAAAAATGCATTCATTTCAATGTAGAGACCGCACACAGTGATGTAACTTCTGTTATCTGATCTTCATCACTCAAGGCATAGGCAGAATAGATTCTGATCACAGGATTGTGTAGGACCAGTACAAAAGGTCAGAGTTCCTTTCTACATTCCTACCTAAAATAAGTGACAAGATTTGCTCTGTTGGGTCATTAGCTCATAGAAGAAACTGAAACTAAGGGTAAATAATCAACTCGTCTGCGTAGAAATCTTGCTCAGGTTCCATGGCTGATATTTTTCACTATTTAGGGACCTAAAGTCAGAGCAGAGAGCATACAAGAAAGAAGAAAACCTTTATAACTGCTCTCTCAATGGGGACTGATATGAGTGTCAAACTTGGTTTCCTATACTTGCTTGCCCCTGTAATCTTTTTGATTTTCAAAGGATTTTTCAAAGCCTGACTTTGAAAAACAACTTGCATTGGTAAGCAATGGTCTTCCTAAGGTGGGCTGTCCTACCCCCAAAAAATGTAACTTTGCCATGAAATGTAAAGCTGGTTTGATCCATAGATGGATCAAAATTCAGCTGGTTCAGCAGGGACCGTTGGAATTTTGATTCAAGTCAGGGATTGGACTGAACAAAGCTAAAAGGGAGGGCCTGCATGACTGGGGCTTGCAGATGAGGTGGAGAATGGATTGGGGTGGGAGTATATTCAGGAGGTGGGGGTGGTTACCCACCTGATTGGAGCAAGCGAGCTTGAGGGTGGTCTTGCCAGGATGAGGAGAGGGGTTGGGACTTGTCAGAGCTTGTGCCAGCACGGGTGTGGTTTCTCCCGCCCTTCCTCCCTGGAGCTGTTTTGTTGTTTTGTTTTGCTGTTTTGTTTTGTGTTTGCTTTGGTTATTGTCCTTTTGTGTTTGTGTGTTGTTTTGTGTGGGTTCCTTGATTTTGTTTTTTTTTTATGATCAGCAATTGGTGTCCTGTGGCGTTTGTCTGTTTTTTTGTTTTGTCATGGCAGTCAGCAGGGGTCACTGGGTCTTTGAAGGCGGTGCTGGAGTGATAATTTGGTGGATTATGGGTTGGGCCCATCATAGGCATGGGTGTTCCTTCCCAATTATAAGGGCATGTTGGTAACAAGGGAGTTCATTGGCTGTATCTAGGACTACGTAACTGTAGTATTGTCCCCGAGGCAGTGTAGTAGCGGCCTTTTTCATTGGGTGTCAGATACAGCCGAGTTATTGATGTGAGTAACAGTGCCTTTGAAGACCTTGGACCCAATTGGGATCATTACTGGTAGTTATTATTTGATTGTACTGTAAGAAGTGATATGTAAGAGTTATGTTAAATAAATGAGCTGCTATGGTTGGTTTTACACCAAAAGGAGAGTCGCGTGGTTATTTAGGTGGGGAAGGTTGAAGGCGTGGTTGTTTTATGGATTAGGTGGTAAGTATTAGCCTCGATATTCTGCATGTCCCTCAGTCATGTGTGGGTGTCTCTCTTTGACAGAAGTTGATCATTGGATCGACGTTTGTCGAATGGGAAAGTCCCGCTGTCTATACACAATGTCCTAGCGGGAAGATTCCGTCATGCGCCTCACTTCTCCGGATGGAGGAATCCATTCATTTTTTCGGTCAGCCCACTGGATGAACCGAAAAAAAAAAGACAGATCAATGGCCAGTTTAAGTCTTGGAACTTCTAGGGTGCACTGTTAACACCTTTGCTCGTAGAGTTTTACACAGGATGCTGTTGTAGATTGGGGGTAAACAAAGAAGTGTTCCCTTTTTTTCTTGGAACTTCTAGGGTGCACTGTTAACACCTTTGCTCCTAGAGTTTTACACAGGATGCTGTTGTAGATTGGGGGTAAACAAAGAAGTTTCCCTTTTTTTCATGAACATGGTAATCCTACCTAATAAAAACTAGATATCACCTGATATTGGCAGAAGAGGAGGCTCAGCCAACCTGAATTTTAAGTCCTCTGCAGAAATCTCATGATCAGGTGTCTCGGCTTTTAGACATGTGGCCTGGTAGGAATCTGGAGCAGCATGTTCTCCGGTATAGGTATTTCAGAACATCTTAGATTTCAGTACTGGAAATAATCACTAAGCTTTAAAGATGTGGCTATAAAAGACAGGTTCACTAAAAGTACCCAATCCCCCCAAAAATGCCTAAATTCTCAATACCCCACAACACATAACCCTTAACCTGCTTTTTTTTTTTGTTGCTTAAACAGGGGTGGGAAAGGGGAGTGACTGAGCTAAAGTGAAATGTTTAAACAACATAAAACCTGTCCTGTACATAATTTCAAGGACAACGGAAGTCCCCACCTCTTCGCATATCTCTGTAAACTATTTCATGACCTTTGTGTACAGAAGCCTACTGATGTATGTCAAAAATACATTCTACACATTGCACTTGGCTTGCATGCAGATATACACCTATCCTTTAACCCTTTCACTATTTTTGCTTTTTTTTTTTCTTTTGTACACGTTAAAAAAAATCATTTTAGGCCTAAAGATTATGCAAAACCCCCAAAACATTATATATTTTCTGGAAGCAGACAATAAATAGGGAGAATAAAATAGCGGTAGTTCGAATTTTTTATGTCACAGGATATTACCATAAAGGTCTAGAAATTTTCAGTTAAAAAAACACACTAAAGTGAATTTTAGGGCAAACAAATGCAATAAATGGCCCACATTTAAAAAATATAAAAAACGAGGTTGTGCCAAATAAATAGATACCCAACATGCCAAACCTTAAATTTGTGTGCACCTGAAATTGTGTGCGTGAAATGGTGACAAATTCAGTACCCTATAATTTCTATAGGCAACGCTTCAAAAGCCCCTATAGGTCATCAGTGTAGTGTTACAGAGGAGGTCTTGTGCTAGAATTATTGCTCTTACTCCGGCATCCGTGTCGATATGTAACATGTGTATCAGAATCGACGTTTTCACACATAGGCTTCCCAATGTATGCGTTTCCGTCTGTACGTGCACTCCCCAAAGGTCTGCAGTCTCTGGTCATCTTCTGTACTATTTCCGCAGTCTCTGGTCATCTCCTGTACTGTGTTCGCAGTCTCTGGTCATTTCCTGTACTATGTCCGCAGTCTCTGGTCATCTCCTGTAGTATGTCCGCAGTATCTGGTCATCTGTAGTATGTCCGCAGTCTCTGGTCATCTCCTGCACTATGTCTGCAGTCTCTGGTCATCTCCTGCACTATGTCTGCAGTCTCTGGTCATTTCCTGTACTATGTCTGCAGTCTCTGGTCATTTCCTGTACTATGTTCTCAGTCTCTCCGGTCATCTCCTGTAGTATGTCCGCAGTATCTGGTCATCTCCTGTAGTATGTCCGCAGTCTCTGGTCATCTCCTGTACTATGTCCGCAGTCTCTGCTCACCTTCTGTACTATGTTTGCAGTCTCTGGTCATCTCCTGTACTATGTCCGCAGTCTCTGGTCATCTCCTGTAGTATGTCCACAGTCTCTGGTCATCTGTAGTATGTCCACAGTCTCTGGTCATCTCCTGTACTATGTCCGCAGTCTCTGGTCACCTTCTGTACTATGTCTGCAGTCTCTGCTCACCTTCTGTACTATGTCCGCAGTCCCTGGTCATCTCCTGTACTATGTCCGCAGTCTCTGGTCATCTCTTGTACTATTGTCCGCAGTCTCTGGTCATCTTCTTACCATGTCCGCAGTCTTTGGTCATCTCCTGTACTATTGTCCACAGTCTCTGGTCATCTTCTGTACTATGTCTGCAGTCTCTGGTCATCTCCTGTACCATGTCCGCAGTCTCTGGTCATCTCCTGTACTGTCTGCAGTCTCTGGTCATCTCCTGTACTACGTCCGCAGTCTCCGGTCATTTCCTGTACTATGTCTGCAGTCCATTGGTTCAGAATATTTTTTTTCTTCTTTTCCTTCTCTAAAATCTAGGTGTGTCTTATGGTCAGGTGCATCTTATGGAGCAAAAAAATACGGTAAGTCTGTTATTTTTCAAAAGAACAAGCTCTCTTGCAGATGTATCAGTTACCGGGATGAGGTAAACCATTTAAAACTGACAAGGGTGCTTACAACAATCAGCTTTTCTTTTATTTATTTATGTAAAACCTTTATCCCAAAAGGAACTATTATAATTTAATATAAAGTCTTAGCTGGGGTTTGGCTTCAATTTATTAGTGTATCTAAATCTGCTAGTACAACTAAGACTCCCCTCCCCTCAGATTGACAATTTGCTGTCCAAATGTGCTCTCTGTGCTCATTCAGCTATAGTGGGGCACCCTAATACTGGAGGTGTGTTACTGGTCAGATCACCAGGTGAAAAACAAAGGAAGAAAGCCTATAAAAAAACAAAAAAAACAAATGCAGCCACCACATCTAATGATTGGTAGGCTGCAATATATTCCACTTTTGGTTTTGGGTTTAACACCACTTCTAGGTGCACCTCCGATTTAAAAGTCTATGACATGCAGCAGGTGGCACAATGTTCAAATGTGAACAGACTCTGAGAATAATAGGATTCTTCACCTTGAACACTGTCGTGCTTCGGGAGTGACACGACAGAACACTCGGGTGTGAATGGGGGTTCTGTGGAAGTGCAGGGGGCTGCTGCTGAAGAACAACGAAAGGGGAGCACCAAATGTAAAATAAAGGGGATACATTTTAAGGCCTCATTTACACAGCTGTATTGATTTGCGCGTTGCTCTGCATAAAAAGTTGTCCATACACTGTATGCAAAGAACATTTGCATTAACGTTTACATACGTACATTGTAAGGCCCCTTTCACGCGGACGTTCCGACTGAATCCGCCTGCCCGTTTTTCAGGCAGACCCGATCGGAACATCTATTCTCCTCTATGGAGCTGTGGGTGTAAATGGACCTGTTGTCTATTTATACCTGCCGACATCCGATCCGTCAAAAAGAGATGGATGTGGATTTGTTCCCCTTCCGTCTGTCGGATTGGATGGCAGTCGGATAGAAACGGACAGGCGGTCCGTTTCCATCCGATCACCCATAGAGGACAGCGGGCTGTGTCTGTGTCCGCTCTGCAGTAACGGAGCAGACACGGACCTGTTATCTGCTTGCTCAGAGGGGATCAGCGGAGAGATCCCCCACTGAGCAAAGCGGATCCACTGATGGGTCCGCCCCATGTGAAAGGGGACTAAATAGACCCTATTGGCCACCACCACTGGATGGACACTACCAGGGGCGGACTGACCATTTGGAAACTCAGGCACTGCCCGAGGGCCTGGGGTCAGTAGGGGGCCCCATGAGATGCCCCTGGTATCTTTTTCATAGGCTTTTTTTTAGTTTGGGCAAGGACACAGGGGCCCCATGATCCCCTATTGCCCAGGGGCCCCATGAGTTGTCAGTCCGCCCCTGGACACTACTGATGTTTACATGTTGGCTATAAATGAGCTGTAGATGTGGTGGTGGCACAAATGCAGAATGACTTCTGTTGATTCTGAATGACTGAAGGCTGAGGTCATCCTCCACATGCACTGCTGCTGAATGATTGACTCATTCAAACATCAATAGTGTGTAGTCAGTGGCGGTGGATATTTGTTATTTATATGTTGGCCCCGAGCAGCGGTGGTGGACAATAGGATCCATGTGACCTGTACATATGTAAGCGTCAGCTCGAATGGTTACATGCGTACAGTGTAAAATACAGACCACATATGTATGGTCTGGTCTTGAGGCTGCCAGTGTCCCAGCAACCAATTTTAATCGTTCCAAAAATTCTAAATTTGTTAGGAAATGAATGAACAAAATCAAACTAAATGAATTCTAAAAAAACAAATAAAAAAAGGAAATTCGTAGCATAATGAATATACCCGAAAGGAAACAATTTTTTCCATTCTGCAGCCAGTGGTGTTGTGAGACCAAGCCTTATTACATTATTACATGCCATGAGGCTGTCAGAGTTCTAGCAACCAATGATTCTATGCGACTGAGCCTGACTGGTTGCTAGGATGCCGGTGGCCTCTGGGCCACCATCATCCTAGCAGCCAGTGATGTGATGTTGTGTGGCTGAGCCTTATTAGTTGCTAGGATGCAGATAGTCTTGAGGCTAGCAGCATCCTAGCAATAAAGGATGTTATGCAGCTGAGCTTCATTGGTTGCAGGAGACTGATGAACCATTGATATTGCCCGGTCAAGTCTAATTAGTTGCTAGGGCACAGCAGTACCAAGACTGTCAGCATCCTAGCAACCAATGATGTTGAGCGGCTGAGCCTGATTGGTTGCTAGGATGCAGGTGACCTTAAGATCAATGGCTTCCTAGCAGCCAATGACGTGACATTGTGTCAGCTTGATTGATAAAACCCAGACAACCTTGAAACTGTCAGAATTCTAGCAGCCAACGATGTATGGCTGAGCCTGGTTGGATGCTAGGACACAGGTGGTCTGAGGCCACCAGCATCCTAGCAACCAATGATGTTGTGCGGCGGAGCCTGGTTGATTGCTGGGATGCAGGAGTCCTCTGGGCTGTTGGTGTCCTAGCAGCCAATGATGTGATGTTGTGTGACTGAGCCTGATTGGTCACTAGGACGCAGATAGCCTTGAGGCCACCGGTCTCCTAGAAACCAATGATGTTATGCAGCTGAGCTTTATTGGTTTCTAGGACACTGAAATCCTTGGGCCTGCTGGCATCCTGGCAACTAGTGACATTGCATGGCCAAGCCTGATTAGTTGCAAGGACACTGTGGCCATGAAATAATCCACTTCCTAGCTACCAGTGATGTTGTGTGGCTAAGCCTGATTGGTTGTTAGGTTTCAGGTGGCCTCAATTCTATTGGCATCCTAGCAGCCAAATGACGTGATGTTGCATGATTGGGTGCTAGGATGCTGATAGCCTCTTGGCAGCAACCAATGATTTTGTGTGGCCGAGCCTGATTGGTTGCTAGGGTGCAGGTGGCTTTGAAGCCATTGGCATCTTTGCAGCCAATGACGTAGCACTGTGGGGTTGCGCCTGATTGGTTGCTAGCAGATAGCTGTGAGTTCACTAGCATTGTAGCAACCAATGACGTTGTGTGGCTGAGTCTGATTGTTTACTAGGACATGGATGGCCACAAAGCCACTAGCAGCCAAGCCTGATGGCCATGAGGCCACCAGTGTCCTAGCAGCCAGTGATAGTGTGTGACTGAGCCTGAGTGGTTGCTAGGATTCAGGTGGCCTCAGGGCCATCTCGTCCTAGCAGCCAATGACATGAATTTGTGTGGGAGAGCAGAGGCAGCCAGCATCCTAGCAACCAATGACAATATGACGCTGAGCTTCATTGGTTGTTGGGACACTGATGTCCTTGGGCCCGCTGGCATCCTAGCAACCAATTACTTTGTATGGCTGAACCTGACGGTTGTTAGCAACCAACGATGTGTAGGGTGGATAAACAACTATCTGGCAATACAAATGACTCCAAACTGATGTTACTATTTACTGCTGGTGTCCGTTTCTCTTGCACGGCGGTATTTTTGATTCATTTTGTGCAGCCATTGCGCCTGAATGTTGCTGTTAGGAGCCACCTGAATTTGTTGCACACGTCAGAACTCGCATTAGAACAATCACGCTGCTTTTCTGAATTAATCGTAGGCCATTCTTTAAAAAGATTAACCCCAGAAAAGCATTGCAGACGCCCCTATATGCTGCATGCGGCATTTTTTACTTCCATGTGAATGAGCCCCACTTCTAAGGTTTGGCTGTGCCCTAGGCATGCCATTCCTGCCAATAAAGCCCGTGCTGTAACTCCATGAAGAGCCGAATGTCTGACTGTGACAATGGATCACGTGCACATCCCTCAACAGATCCGAGCGTGTAAAGAGAAAAAAAAAGTCTAGCCGACTCCCCTGGCCGCAGAGTCCTGAGCGCATGCGCAGTGCGAGGCTGCTGAAGAAAGTGTGTCACTGGGGCACGAGGCTCTCCCTGGGGTCACGTGGTCCTTGCTTCAGTGCCGCGTGCCGGGCCCTGGGAGGACGGGAGCTTGTGCGCAGGCGCAGTGCTGCAGTGAGCGCCTGTCAAGCTGGCTAAAGCAAGCAGGAGGTGTGAGAGAGAGCATTGCAGAGCAAGGAGGGAGGAGAGGCAGGACGTGTTCGTACCGAGCTCCTCATTCCCAGGGCAAAGGCTAGGCTGCAGCACGCACTTGTTTTTGACAGCAGATTGAGCAGCACTGCAATCAGGTGCATCAGCAGACATTTGGTTTTTTATTTTTTTTGCAATCAGGTGCACTTGCCTATTATTATTATTTTTAGCTATAAAGGATTTTTCCCATCTGTGGATCTTTCATCTTCTTCAAGGATCGCTAGAACTGAATTGATATTTGCAGATCAGGGTGTGATCATTGCAGCTGGCACCTTGTTTGTGTAGATTGGGCAGAGATCTCCCCTCTGCTGAGGACACGATTTGTCAGTACAGAGGGAGCTGACAGGGGAAAGCGATTTGTTTGTTTCTTTATCAATGCAGCAGCTGCTGGCAAAATTTGCTACAAATTGTCCATGTAAAAGGAATTACTACATTGGATCTGTACACCCAGGGGGTATATAAAGGACAAGCAGGACTGCAGTGTCACATTCCAAGTCTGGTGGTGAATGATCTGCCCATGTCAGCCATGACAACTCTGGACTGCAGTAATAACACAGGTGAGAGGGGGCTCTACAGGGAAAAATGGGAAGGGGGGGGGGGGGGCAGCTGGAGAACCAGGCTGGAAACTGAATTCAGGAGTTTAATTTTTTTTCAGCCATTTTTATAATATATGCAATATGTTATTAAGAATAAGTAATTCTAGAAACATTTTCCTAAAATTTGTAATGAGTTTAACGATTGACCTGACTTTTAAAAATAAATAATCTGTACTGCTGGAAACCTAGATCGGTGTTTTTTTTTTTTTTTTTTTTTTGGTCATTTTAATTAATTTTAAAATTGTGTTTCTTTTTTATTTGATTATTGTTTCCCATACTATCATATATTAAATTTTTTTTTTTTTTATAAAAAAAAATACAATAAATTGTTTTTAAAATTGAACATATATGTGTTTATGGGGGGGTGGATAATTTGTGCAATTCTTTTTTTTTTTTTTTTTTTTAAATGTTATTGGAAAAGTGTGTGTGTGTGTGTGTGTGTGTGTGTGTGTGTGTGATTAAAAAAATTGTGTATAATTTTTTTTTTTGTTTAAAAATTGGAACATACACGTGTGTTTTATGTCTAAGATAAAAAAAACACGTGTGTGGGTGTTTTTTTTTTTTTTTGTTTTTTTTTGATAAAGTGAAACGTGTATTTAAAAAAAAAAAAAAAAAAAAAAAAAAAAAAAAAAATTATATATATCTATATATCTCAGCAACTGCACAGGTTTCCAAGAATTTTCTTGGGCACTTTGCGCTTAAAAAGACATTTGTGTGTTTGATGTCTCATGGGGCTCGGACCACCTTTTTTATCAAGGCTTCTCTTTCACCGATCTGTAGTTGTATGAAGTTAGGTTATTTTAATTTTTTTAATTGTGTGTGTGTGTATAATATTTTTTTTTTTTCAATGATTTTATTAAACGTTTTGAACACAATATAGTAAAACATTTATATTGACATTTTTATCTGTGGCCAGCTTTGATTAGGTTGGACATGCGTGTGTTTTAAGAAATAAAAGGAAAATGTATATCTTATTTATGTGTGAATCCTGCGCTCTCAGTACAGGTTGGTTGGAAAAGCAGTCTCCTATGTGAGATGGGGTGTTTGTCCCGTTGTAAACACGTTTCAGGTTACTATGTAAAAGTTAATGTTTCAGTGGGAGGGGATCCTGGCCTGCAGAGCTTGCAGTCACATGGAATGGGGAAAGTAGGTCACCCAGGCTGTGTGTGAGCGAGATCCTCCCAGTGGCTTCACGTGTTCTCCCGCCCTAGCCATGTGCACAGTGTTTTCATTCCTGCTTCCCCAGGCTGAGCCGTCATTGGACAGTTCTGGCCATGCTCATCCACTCCTCTGATGACGTAACTGGTTCCCAGGACACGCCTTCATCTGGGTCTGTTTGCAGGAGTGTTAATAAGTTTAATTTACCTTAAACTAAAAGATTTCATTGTGTATGGATGTATGCCACACAACCTGATTGATAAAGATGTAGAAATCCATTCAACTTGGTCGCTTCTAAGGAGCTGTACTGTTTTATGTTTATCTCCCATGTACTGAGGATCATGACTCCACTCCTCACCTATCAATTTATGAATTTACAGAGGCTTTGGATGTAGAAATGCCCTGTTATCTGTGAGCAAGTTTGCAGCTGTATAGACTGCCCATCAGAATCTAGCATAAAGCAAAACACCTGTAGGAGAAGGCTCTGATGGAAGCAGTCATTCCCTAACTCCTGTGCATCATAATAGTCTGGGAAGCTAAACCTATTTGGCTTCACTGTGATTTAATTAATTGGCCTGGAAGAGCATTTTTAAGTTATGTCTTCAGGATTTCCCAGTGTCTCTAGCTTAAGCATCGCCATAAAAACAATTTTTCTAAAGCTGACCATACATTATACAATTTTCTCCAATTTCCTTTAGATTTACCTTCAACCTATATTGCAAGGGCCTGCCTGATTGCATACAAATTGAATATGCTTAGGGTTGACCTCAAATTGTATGACCTGCCTAGATTGTCCTCCATGACCATCAAATGAAACTTACCGTCCTGGAGGATTTCTGGAAAGGGAGTCAAGTAATAACTTATGTTTTTCCAAGTGATCCTACAGGACTTGAAGGTTCAAGTTACTATCCTATAGGATTCATTGAAAAGGAGTCACAAGTAGTAACTCATGTATTTTCAAGTGATCCTTCAAAATGAGAGGTTCATGTTACTGTCCTGGAGGATTCTTTGAAAAGGCATTATCCGGTAATAACTCGTGCTTAAGTGATCCTTCAGGACGATACGTTTCATGTTATTGTCCTGGAAGATTCCTTGAAAATGAGTTATTGGGTAATAACTCATGTATTTCAAAATGATCCTCCAGGACGAGACGTTTTATGTTACTGTCCTGGAGGATTCCTTGAAAAGGAGTTATCCAGTATCAAAGTGCAAAAATATTGCATGTGTTTTTTTTTCTTTTTTCTTGTATTCATATGAAAGGGCTGTGCTTGTTACAGCGCAAACATTTGCAATGTAGCAGGCAAGAGTGAACCCAGAGTCAGTGACCTATGGTTACCAACTACTTCTATTTTTCAAGTCCCAGTGTGTGCCTCCTTGAATTTGTAGTTCCCTCAGTGGAATCAGGGCCACAGCCTGGCCACCCTGTTTGCTAAAGGTAAAAATGTAAACGTTTCAAGCAAAGTTTTGCCTATCTTTTGGAGTAGTTATATAATTTGTATGCTAAAGCCTAGTACACACAATCAGAAAATCGTACGAATATGACCACGTTTGAAACGATCGTACGATAATCCGATCATTGGTACACAGTTTTTTTTTGTCCGAAATTATTCGAAGGAATAAGCACGGAACTTTCTCGTACGATACCAGATCGTATGATTTTCCTTTTAATCAGCACAGTTTTCATCCAATAATACAATAAATTACATCACTGTTGAATTTTTATTCTGCCGTACAAGAATTTTTGTAACTTTAGTAACCTCTTCATTTTTGATATGGAGACCAGCATGCAAAAAAAAAACCCAGACGATCATTCGTCCAATATTCTATCGTGTACGGGGCAACATAGTACGACAGCCAAATATTCACACCCCCACCTTGTACACATGATGAGAATATTGGACGAAAAATACCGCTTTAAGAGCGATCATCCAATAATCTGATTGTTCGTACCATGCAAGAAAAAAACGACTATCATTCATCCGATATTCTCATTGTGTGCACGAGGCTTTATGCAGTAATAAAAACTGATGACGTTTTCTGTTACAGATTGTTGCCTGTAGTTTAAGACCAATCTAAGTGATTGCCCTGGGCAACACAGACAGTTCTCCTGTCAGGTTAATAAATCAGGTCAGCAGTTTGTTAAGGGACAACGTTGCACATGTTCAGTGTGGATTATGTGCCAGCAGAGAACGCGTTAAGTAAACTCAGGGTGGAGTAGTGTCATAAGCATTCCAGGATTGGCCGCAGGCGGAGATGGGAGGTGTGGTTCAGCAGTCCATGTGCAGTGGGAACACGTGGAGTGTATGCGTGAGGCAGGAGGCGATGAGTAACCTGAGGTCAGACAGTTAGTGTTCATTACATATGGCTGGACAGGCTTTATATAAGACAGGGATAGAGGAGCTGGGGAAAAGGGATATGGACAAGTGACGGGAGAGCAGGGCCAGGATGGGGGGGGGGGGGGGGGGTTGGTAAGGGACAGGTGGCAGAAGAAGGGGGTGCAGCAATTTGAGAGGAAGATCTAAACTGGGGAATTGACAGTCGCTGAACTAGAAGAGCGGTTATGAAGAATGACAATCAACTTGACATAGATACCCCACTGAGAGCATGAAAGTAACCCATATCAATCAATCACAACTTGTTCAGACCAATACAAGATGAATTCTGATTGGTTGCTTTTTGTTACTGCACTTAGGAATAAGAATGCTTTTAATAAATAGTGTCATGAGTTGCAACGTGCAAAATAGAGTAACCCATAGCAAAAAATTAAATTTATTTTATCAATTAAGTCTACTTTTAAGTAGAGTGAAAACATCTTTTTTTTTTTTTTTTTTTTTTTTTTTTTTTTTTTTTAGATTTGGATAGTGCTGAGGGGTTAGTAGCCAACCAAGGTTTTTTTTTTTTTTTTGTTTGTTTTTTTTTATGGCTGTCTTGTGTCCCCACTAGGGAGATTTGCTATCTCTGGTTGCCCTGTTTCACCAATGTCACCAAGAGTGAAAGTAAATCCAAAATTTGGAGTTGTCACTAGAACAGGAATAGAAGGAAAATCATCCATTAGGAACGGTACTTCCTCTCCATTCCTGTTCAGTTACTGGACAGTAAGTGAAAGAAAATCAGCCTAATGCAGGGGTGTTCAAACTATGGCCCTCCAGCTGTTGAAGTACTACAAGTCCCATCATACCTCTGGGTGTCTTGCCTGTGGATGTCAGTCTTGCAAGGGCTCATGAAACTTGCAGTTCCTCAACACCTGGAGGGCTATAGTTTGGATACCCATGGCCTATTGAGTCGCATGACTAACACACCCTTTTCCTATGATCACCAAAACTAGGAAAATAATGTAGGCTTTAGATATACTTTCCATTTTTTTTGCAGATGGGCTTGTTTTTGTTAGGGGCAGTTTATCCCAGTAGATATACAGTGTGGTTGACTAGAGGTAGGTACCTCTAGTGGAGAAACTACAAGTACTAGGTTACCATGCCACGTAGAGATTAGTGGGTAGTGCCTCCAACATTTTAATTCAAAAGGAAGCCTGAGAACTACATGCTGCCAAAGTGTTAGCATAAAGAGCAGTGGGTTTTCCATGCAATTTTTGACTGAGGGATGGTTTGATTCTTTCATCAGCTCTTCCTGGCTGTACATGGGTAAATATGCTCAACTTCCAGCCAGTTGAGTTGGCTTAAAACTTGTCAGATTGGTGGTCTTTACATGTTCCTATAAAATAGCCATTCTTAACCAGGGTTCCTCCAGAGAAGTCTTTCTCAACTTTTTTTTGCCCCAGAGGAACCCTTGAAATAGACTCTTACCTG